GTGGAGGAATGCATTTGTACTTTTGTAGTATTAAGATAAACCGCAAATATTGGTGATAGGATTTTCGGATGCGTAAATTATGAGACAAAATTAGTAGGTACCACACTTACTTTTGGTTTAATTGCTAAATTCAAAAAAAATATCAAGATGTGAATATGCCCACTTTCTGTTATTAAATCATGATGAACGTATAATGTGGATGAGAGTTTTAAAAGACATGAATAAAGTTCTAACAAAAAGAAGACATGAATAAAGTCTTCTTTTTTTTTTTGAAACTAATAAAGTCTATTTTTTCAAGGAAAAAAAAATATCAGAGAGCAACATTTTGGTGTTTTATTCACAATATTTTAGCAGACAATCATTTTTCGATGCTCTAAAAAATAAATTAGAAACAATAGTCCACATTTAAAAACAATAAAACCTTAAGCTGTTTTTGTAAGCAAATCAAATTTCGAGAAGATACGTAGGTAGAAACATTTTTTGGTACACGTCCGTGTCAGTCAACGCTTACTTAGTTTGACTTTTGACCCTCCATAATATCTTCAAAAGTCCATTTGTGTTCGCTTACTTATTCTTTTAGAGAGAGATCTCATCAGTAACTTAAGTGTGATAATTAAAGTTTGATTTTTCTTTTTGGTTTATTAAAGTGTGATTAACTATTGGGAAACGAAGAGAAATCTAAATGAAGCCACAAAAATCCAAACTCCGCTAAATGAAGACACAAAAATCTAAATGAAGACACAAGTCTCTCTGGCTCTGTCTTTGAGTAGTCTCACAAAATGTGATGAAACTTTTACCTTCGAAAGTTTTTCTTGCTGTTCCATGGATGCAATGCAGCTTTGTATCTTACCCTGCAACAGGTTATTAACCTGTCAAGGGAAAGGAGTATCCGCGAAGATACTTGGAGTCCACTCCTGATTCACGAGCCAATGCGACACGCCCGGTTCTTGCAACCTGTGATTGTTCATTACAAACATCAACACGATGCATAAGTTAAAAAAGAAAATAGCAATGCATGTCACACTAATTCTTGCTCTAAGCACAACTCCTTAATTTTATTGGGCTTTATCCGAACAATTCAAAAGATTTGTAATGTATAACACACACTAAGAGACGAAACAAACCTCGCATATACCGTAGGGCTCCAACAACCTTTGCAGTGCAACCATCTTGTCTAGATCCCCAGTAAGCTATATCCAAGACAAGAAATTTCAGCACCAAATCCAAAAGAATACAAAAAGGAAAACGGAATTAAGATAAAATAAATCCAAATCTGCTTCATATATTTCTGTCAAACGGAACTTGTATTATTATCAAACAAGGTAAAAGGCCTATGGAAAGATATGCAACTTCAGAGAACTCCAACGGAGAGGATTTCTCATCTGTTATGTAATTACACCTGAAATATAAATCCAGCTCATGAGAAATGTGTTTTACCTGCAAAGTGATTGTGTGATCCGATACGTCAACAGCTATTGCCCTGAAAATACTAGCAACGTCCAGGACATCTCTTCTCGCAGCAGAGTTTACGGCAATCTTAATCAGCATCAGTTCTCTTTCAGCAAATGGAAAATGAGTAAGATCATGGACCTGCAGAAATCCTGGCACAGTTAATAACTGCTTGGAAAGTGAGCTGCAAACCCAAAATTAAATTGCAGAAACCATTCCTATGATCTAGTTTGAACAAAGAGCAAACGGGAAAAGATAGGAAAGGATGGAGTAATCAAAAGCATTCAAAATGTTCAATATATACTGTAGCCATGTAAGAAAGTGCATTTTTGTAATCTCACCTCATGCACATCTACGAGTTTATATAGTTGCTGCACCAATTTGCTGACTGATTCATCTGTTGCAGGAACAACTGTTGTAATGCGTGAAATACCCTCGGTTTCAGCATGCCCTACAGCCAAGCTCTAAACAAGAAGAAAATCCTTCAGTGTATCAGTAAACCTCAAACACACC